GGGGCCTGCTGCCGCCACGCCCCTTTATTTGGGTACATTTGCATGCGGGGCGGGAGTGCCCACTTCGGGGGGCAGCGGGAGCCTGCCCGGGTCCCTCCCCGCTGCGGAGGGACCCCAAGGGGCAGGGGCCCGGGGCTGCTCTCCCTCCTCGGCCGGGAGGGAAGCCGGGGGCACCCAGCCGGGCTTCGGGCAGGAGGTCGGGGCTGCAGCCCTCGGGGGTTGCGAGCGGTGCTCAGCCACCGGGCCGGGGGCCGGGGCAGGTACAGCAGCCCCTGCTCTGCCACCGGCTGCCCCGCACTGCGGGCTGCCCCGGAGCTGGGGACGCCCCCAGGCCACCTGCGCCTCTACAGCAGGAGAAAGGAGGAGAAACACGTTAGAGAAACGGGTCAGGCTCGGGAGACCAGGGTGCCTCCAAACCTCCCTTTGCCATCAGCGCTTCGGGAGCCTCTGGCCAAGGGCTGCCGTTCCCTCCCGGTGGGGCCAGGCAGGCAGTGCTGCACCTCCACGGTACAGCAGATCAGCATGACAAATCTGGGCCGGGGGCTAGCCCAGCTGCAAGCCCGTTTGCTGTTAATGACTTTGTGACTACACTCAGAGCAGCCCCTCCGTTTGAACCCTGGCTATCACAGCCTTCCCCGCCGGGGCCAGGGCTGGTCCTGCTGCTGAGGATGCCTGAACCACCAGCCTGGCTGCTGGCTGGGGGAAAAACAGAGCCCAGAACCCCACCCCTGCACCCTTCAGGCAGCAGGGAGAGAGGGCTCTGTCCTTGCTGCCAGGGCATGGGCTCACGCAGCTATCCCTGCCCGTGGGGATGGGGGCTCTGCTGCCTGGGAGCATGCCAGGAGACACTGCAGCGGGGTCCAGGTCAGAGATGCAGGATAATCTTTAAGAAAAAAGGAACAGGACACAATTCCAACTCCTACGTGTTTTGTGGCAGCAGGGTCAGGTGTCTCTGAAGACATGGGGAGAAGGTGTCTCTGTAGTGAGATCAGAGCAGTGCCCGGCGTGAGGGGCAGCGACTCCTGCCCTGGTGCAGCAGCAGGCACTGCTCAGTCTGAGCCCGGGGCTGTGGTCACGGACAAGGGGAACGGTGCCAGGAGCCTTGCGCAGTGGGATGAGCGCCTGGCCACGCTCCAGAAATCCGTGCAGCCCGGTGCTGGCTCACACTTTCCCCTCCAGCTGACACGGGTGCATGCTGGGAGGAGGAGGGCAGGGGAGGACAGCCCCTGTGGGTCAATATAGCTGGAGCATTAGTGGTAAGCAGGGAAAATTAACCTCTGGCCCCAGCGTGCTGGATAATGGATAACAGAAAACTCCCATTTGCGGCCAGAGCCAGGAGCTGATGTTCAGACTCCTGACCGCTGGGCAGGGCAGGGAGAGGGCTTAGCACAGGGCCAGCGCAGAAGACGAGCCAGGGCACTCAGAGTGGGGCCATGTACCCCGGGGGGATGGCAGAGCACGGGCAGAGCCAGGCGGGGAGTGGGCAGAAGTGCTCCCAGACGGGAAAGCCCATGCCTGAGCTAGGTTCTTCTCCCATCACATCACCAGGACTCTTCCGAATGCCTTTGATGGACATGCTTGGGCACTTCCCCAGAGCATGCCATGTGTCCTGGCCAGAGTCCCCTGGTATGGGGCTCTTACCTATGTGGGGAGCAAGCCGGAGCTGGAGCAGAGCGCTGGGAGGAAGCATAGCAGCACCAGCAGCAGAGCTGAAGCACTCACCACACACCTGACCTGGCAAGAAACCGATACGGCTGGGGGGCTAGTGGGAGACACGGAGGCTCCAGGGACCCCGGGCCATGCCCCGGGCTGTCGGGGCCGTCGCGGCACGGAGTAAAGACACAGGAGGCAGGGGTAAGACAGGGAATGCTTTTTATTCAGACCCACGGCGAGGACGGTGGGACCGTAACAGACTTTTCCACTGAAGCACAGACCATTGAACAGGACAGACCGCGGCGCACACACTGCTACAGACCCACGGGGGGTCTTCAACTAGGTTATGTTCCCTGTAAGAGCAGCACCCTTGTGAGAGTTTAGTATTCCTCCCCTTCCTCCTCGCCCTCCCCTTCCACCGAATCCACCCCCACCTCCTCGTAATCCTTCTCCAGAGCGGCCATGTCTTCCCGCGCCTCAGAGAACTCCCCTTCCTCCATGCCCTCGCCCACGTACCAGTGCACGAAGGCTCGCTTGGCGTACATCAGGTCGAACTTGTGGTCCAGGCGAGCCCAGGCCTCGGCGATGGCCGTGGTGTTGCTCAGCATGCAGACGGCGCGCTGCACCTTGGCCAGGTCCCCCCCCGGCACCACCGTGGGCGGCTGGTAGTTGATGCCCACCTTGAAGCCCGTGGGGCACCAGTCCACAAACTGGATGCTGCGCTTGGTCTTGATGGTGGCGATGGCGGCGTTGACGTCCTTGGGCACCACGTCCCCGCGGTACAGCAGGCAGCAGGCCATGTACTTGCCGTGGCGAGGGTCGCACTTCACCATCTGGTTGGCCGGCTCAAAGCAGGAGTTGGTGATCTCGGCCACCGACAGCTGCTCGTGATAAGCTCTCTCGGCCGAAACCACGGGGGCATAGGTGGCCAGGGGAAAGTGGATGCGAGGGTAGGGCACCAGGTTGGTCTGGAACTCGGTCAGGTCGACGTTCAGGGCTCCATCAAATCGCAGCGACGCCGTGATGGATGAGACAACCTGGCTGATGAGTCTGTTCAAGTTGGTGTAGGTTGGGCGCTCGATGTCTAGGTTTCTGCGGCAGATGTCGTAGATGGCTTCATTGTCCACCATGAAAGCACAGTCCGAATGCTCCAATGTGCTGTGGGTGGTGAGGATGGAGTTGTAGGGCTCCACCACGGCAGTGGAGACCTGTGGTGCGGGGTAGATGGAGAACTCCAGCTTGGACTTCTTGCCGTAGTCAACGGAGAGTCGCTCCATCAACAGGGAGGTGAATCCGGAGCCAGTGCCACCTCCAAAACTACGAAACACGAGGAATCCCTGGAGGCGTGCATTGGTGTCAGCCTGTGGAGAGAGCCAAGTAAGAGTCCTCCAAGCACTGACTTTGC